TATGTCCTTTGTTCACTAGGAGTTCAGCCTTGCTTTGATCCTTTGTTCCCACCTGTCATGATGTTAACCTTACTTTGATACTTTGATCTCATTTGTCATGATTGAGCCTCATTTGTCATGATTGAGCCTTACTTTGATACTTTGATCTCATTTGTCATGATTGAGCCTTACTTTGATTTTTTGATCTCATCTGTCATGATGTTAGCCTTACTTTGATACTTTGATCTCATTTGTCATGATTGAGCCTTACTTTGATCCTGTGATCTCATCTGTCATGATGTTAGCCCTACTTTGATACTTTGATCTCATCTGTCATGATGTATTCCTTACTTTGATCCTTTGATCTAATCTGTCATGATGTGCGCCTTACTTTGATCCTTTCATCTCACCTGTCGTGATGTGAGCCTTACTTTGATCCTTGGATCTCACCTGTCATGATGTTAGCCCTACTTTGATCCTTGGATCTCACCTGTCATGATGTTAGCCGTACTTTGATCCTTTGATCTCACCTGTCGTGATGTGCGCTCATTGATACCACGGCTGATGTTGCTTATGATAACGTGGATGTTGAAGGACTTGTCGCAGTTCACAAAATTGTAATTTGGACACGGCTAAAAATCGTAACCGGAAATGAGTGCGAGACAAATTTATTTGAAACCAAATTGTACGAAGGGATGGTGTGTGAATCGTAGTTCGAGGGGTATTTTATTTCAACGGAAGTTTTTCCAAACAAAACTGTGTTCGAACACAAATAAGGGGGCGTATGACTCGCAAGGGGGCGTATGACTCGCAAGAGAGTAATGTGAAGATTTTGGGGAAACATAAAGCCTCTAAGATAATAACTTTATTAGGTTATTTTTTTAACGGGTGGATTTTTGTGCGTGTGGGCGGGGGTGGGAATAGGTGGACAATGTTAGGCATAACACTTTGGCCACCTTGTTTTTGTTTGCCATGTGTTGCTATACACACATATTTCACATAGTTAGTGTAAGTTGTAGCGTACCGACGCTGAAAATACTGAAATGTAAAAAAATCTATCGGCACTTTGAAGTCCACTTTCTCGTTTAGCTCTTCTAACAGGAAGTGGGTGGGTGGGATAACACTGGCACATCTATTATTTAGCTCTTCTACCAAGAAGGGGGTGCGTGGGGGAGGGAAGTGGATCTATTGTTAAAGAAGAAAAAAAAACAAAAAACAAACACCATTAAAAAAAATACAGTAACCTTTATTAAACCCGAGTTTTAACTTTTTTTCTAACATTATTCATTACTGACACCCTTCAGTCATGGTATTCAATCATCTTGTAAGAGATACTGACGTAAAAATAATCCAAAGTAAAAAATCTATCGATCATTAATTAAGGATCTAATCACATCCACAAGCTTGGTTTCTATGGAAACTAACTGCGCAACCATTGGCCAAACACGCAAAGGGCAACAAAGTCATGGCAGACAAAAGATTTTACTTTCATAATTTATACTTTACAAACTTAAGTCATGGAATACTTTGATGAAGTTGATGCTGATGGCTTAGTCACTTCAATGTTGTTCCCCTTGAACCTTAGCACACAGTTGACCCCCCCCCCCCCCCCCCCCCCTATTTAAAACTTGAACTCGCAGTTTGGACCCCCCCCCCCGACACACTTTTGCCTTACAGCAAACACCCCCCCCACCTCTTTCTTTTTTCTTCTTTCAATGCCCACAATTTATCAGCTCTTAACAATAACAAAATACTGTGGCACTAAGGATGAGTAGAAGATTTTTTTATTCTATACGTAGTCTGAATTTTCACAAGTTTTGATAACTATAATGAACAATATCAAGCTACTACAGGGGAGTAAGCAGTAATTTAGGCCATCAACCCAGTCAAAGCAGGCACATATAGTTGAAAGAGGGAGGACACTTTATCTATTTACTTAAACACGTAACAGAGATGAGTTATACAAAAATTCAATCCCCCCCCCCAAATATTATGAAATTCATTCATTTAAAACTGATAAGAGCTTACTAGATTTTCTTTAGGCAAGGAGAAATATTAAAATTGACCACAAATACTTTTTGGGTGTGTATGTTAAAGGAATAGCAAATCAGTTATAATTTAGTCTAAAAAATAACATGTAAATGCAAGATATTGCCAATAACCTGTGCCGAGCTTCAATATCAAGATATTGCCCACACTGGGATTTTCCTTTCATGGTATCCCCATAAAAATGTTATTCCTTACTAATTCCTACTCCTTCTCTTCCCCCCCCCCCCCCCCACCTCCCCACATGATGGGAACATTTCTAGTTATATCCTGGTTTTGATGTGAAGCACATGAATCTCTCGATGGCTAATACTGTAGGTCTTAACAGAACAAAGTAAACATGCAAAACAATAATACATTGGCTTGAAAGGCAGAGTGGCAAAATGGACACGGAGCAAATCATGGATTAAATAACACCAATTGATGGAATGTCATGAGATGATGCCCTAATAATAGTAAATCAAAATAATCTCATTCTTTCCTCTTTTACCATGGAACCTTGTACTCCGCCTACTCCAGCCAGGACATAAATAATTTTTTATTTTGGTGGGGTTCATTAAAGAAAAAAATTATAACATATTTTTTGTAAAAAATGTCTATACATGTGAACTTGAACTTTGTTGACCTTGAATAGTACATCCTTTTAATTTTTGTATATGCTCAACTATAAAAGTAATTAATTGGAGAAAATCTATAAAATTATTAAAATCTGTTTCTTAAGATAAATTATTATAACTATTTTAACAGAGAATTTTTGTGTGTTAAAATTGACATTTCCAGGGGTGAAAGGGTTAATAAGTTTAACAGCTAGGAATGGGTTATAGCAGTGCTTCCCAAACTGTGTGTCACGACACTTAAGTGTCTGGTGAAAATAAGCCATACCAATGGTCACAAAATTTTTGTAAGACTTTAAAACAAACACACTAAAATGATTTAAATTTGTTAAAGGATTATTCCTTTAACCAATCAAAATTTATCAAAATGAGTTTTGTAATCTAATTCAAAAACCATCTTTGCGCTCGAAAATCGGCATCAGCGGTTGAGCTGGGGTTAGTGCCCCCCAGGAGTGGGGGCAAAAATTTTTGCAACCCCTCCCACAAAAAAAACCTCTGCAGTTGTACAAAAAAAAATGATGCCCCTTCCCCTCCCCCTTCCTATGTCACTTATTGGCATATCTTGATCTTGCTGACATATTTTAATATTCGCAAAAAAAAAAAAAAAAAAAAACCAGCCTGCAAGTATATCAAATTTGTGCGATGGGATTCAGTGACAAGATAGGGATTGGGAAATGGAAAGGGTGAGAAGAAAATTTGGAAAAGTATTCCAAAAACAGCCCAGTGCCAGCTGAAATGTATTAACAGCTCCCTATTTGTGGACGATTTAACTTAACTCCAAGAGGAAATTCATCCTTACTTCCAAGGCGCTAAAATCCAAGACCATGATTGGATGAGGAATCGGTGTCTTTCAACTGAAGAAATTAAAATGTTGAAATAACGATTGGAATCTGTTAAAATGATGTATGAGAGGGTGATTCAACTTTTGGATTTGTATTTCTAAATTGCATCCCCAATAAAAAGTTAAGGGTTTTCATGAGATATGTTGATACTTTATGTGATTACACTTTATGTTATTGCCCGCTTTTTTTAGCCCCTGTTTACAGGTAAAACAGATATACTGTGTCGCCAAGTGATGTATGTCTAAAAAGTTTGGGGGCCAACATGAAAAGTTTGGAAAGCACTGGCTTACAGTATAGGTGACCTACATATTCCTTAAATCTATTTATTCTTAACTGGCCTGTTATAAACCTTGTTTCCAAGAGCCCCATTAAAAGTAACAGTGAAATATCTATAAAAATAATAATTTGAGGAATAAGTTGTATGTGTCAGTGTCAGGTCAATGTTAAAGTAGCTGCACTCAAATTAAGAGAGAGAGAGATAAATCTTTGATTGTACATGAATAAAAATGTTCAGTTCGCTCTAGCACAGGGACAGCTTATGGGAAGGTGGTAAAACCCTGAATCTTCAAATGTAGCTGAACAAGGAGATATTTGAATTGAACATTCTACAGAAAACATTTTCAATAGGGAATTTTTTTGTTTTGAGAATTTTGTTTATTTCCCGGCAGTTCTTTTTTTGTGTGTGTTTAAATAGCCTACTTAATACTAGAAGCTAAATGGACTAGATATACATGGCTATGGTCAGTTCATATTTGTCTGTGCAGTTCCATTATCAGTATTAAATGCTTGGAGACAAAATAAACTCTATTAACTCTGTTCTTTAAATGCCATAGTAACAATGTAATTTATACTTTTACATTATAATTAAAATGCCCAAACATACAATCACATGAAAATACATTTCAAAATAAAAAAAAATTTGATTTTTAATTTGCATTATTTCTATTGTAACTTTTCATTATGCCAGGAATGATGGTGTACTCTGGTTGGCAAGTCAAAACACTCCCAGTTAGCTGAGCAAAGGAAAGAAGGTAATTTGAATATAATTCAGAATTTCTAACTATTAAAAATGTACAAAAACAAAGCTTTATTAAGAAATGTCAATAAATCAAGTTAATTTTAAAGACATTAAAGCAGAAAGAAGAAATGTGCCCCAATTTTATTTGACCTCTGCCCTATTTACGTTTGAGTTAACGGCCCTAGTTATTTATGAGTTCCCTGCCATACTTTTTTTTTTTTTTATCAGTAAACTGCTCTACTCAATTATCAATCAACTGCCCTACTGGTTTATCAGTTATCTGACCTACTTATGAGTTAACTTAGCAAAATTAACCTTCAAAATCAAAAGAAAGTGTTTTATAGTCAGTAGTGTGATGGAAAACATGAATAATAAACACAAAAAGTTTACTATATTCATCACTGTATAATGAATAACATTTATGAAACATTTGAATTCTCAAAAGTGACCAATAGTATTCCATGTTACATCATTTGATTTCACATTGTAACCAATCACATTACCTGTCAAAAAATCAATGCCAACCAACTGCATTACATGTTACAAAATTTTAAGGGCTGAAGAATGTCTGATTTTTGACTAAATAAAATGCATCAAACAATTCTCAGTGCATTCGTCACATTATAGCAATGGAAATAATTGAAAGACAGTTAGCTTAACATGTACACATGCAAGACAGAATGCGTACTCTACAGAACATTGACACATAATGTGCATACAACAGAACATTGACACAACTGTGCATAGCAGGATAATTGATACATCACAATGAGTGCACTACAGAACAATTCATGATGGCATGCACTAAACATTATTTTCTTATAGAACATTGTTTTCTTATTCAGTTAAACTGCAAGTGATCAACATTATAGCAACAGGATATCTGAAAGAAGACTATCATTACTATGAGGCTTTGTACTAAGAAATGGGAACTGTACCGAATGGAACTCAAACCCTGCTGACAACAAAAACTGAACCTAACCCTGTTGACAAAAGAACCTAAATCGAAACCTGTCGATGAAAGAACCTAAACCGAACCCTGCTGACAAACAAACCTAAACCTGCTAATAACCAAACCCGAACTTCAAATTCACTGAATACGAAACAATCCAAACTTTCTATCCAAATCTGATAAAACTGACACCATTTGACGAAAGTGGCACAGCACTGCTTACGGCATAAAAAATTTTCCCCTTCCCATTTTAAAATTATCCCCTACCCAGCTCTCCCCCTCCAACACCCTTGGACTCATAGACTTGATTTTGTATTAATGTTTGATAAATTAAACAAGGACACTGGCCGGCTCTTTTTCACCCTGTGCCAGATACTCATTAGATACCGGGTAGGCCTTATTTATTTATCTATCAAACAAATTGTTTGCAGCTGACATCTAGATGAGGGCCAGATATGTGTGGGTGGAAAGGGGACAAAACACTGCAGTATGATGTTCCTACAAGCAGTGGTGAAGGAAGGGGGTACCCCACCCCCCTCGCGGAACTTTTTTCCTTACATAGAGGGGCGGCATGTTTGGCCATCTGCAGAGGTTTTATTGTGGAAAGGGGGGGATCTTGGCCAAACAGTAACCCTAGTTAGGCCACTGCCTACAACAAGATAAACAATGACCAAACCCTGAGTAGCCACAACAGATGAAAAGTGAGGAATGACGTGATAGCATTATTTGTTTAAGAGGGTACCATTGAAAGGATTGGCATTTAATAGCAAACTATTTCAAGACATCCTTTCAATAACCACGACAATAAAACCCCAGGGTACTTTGACAGTTTAAGACATTTATTCTCTTTTTTTAATTGGGAGAATTTCTATAATAAACCCTTTATATTTATAATAAATGTGATTTATATTTATTTTATTTAAATTAAAACCGAATTAATTTCAAATTACCCAACGCGCCGAACTGCAGTGCTTGCTGAACCTCGGCCTTAGCTATTACCAAACCGAAATCTGCCGACGACCAAACCCTAACTGAACACTGTTGACAATCGTGCCTGAACCAAACCCTGCTGATGACCAAACCCAAACCGAACCTAACCCTGCCGATTATTGAACCCGAACCAAACTTCTAAAAGAGGGTTCGATTCCCATCTCTAATTTATACTAGCTACTAACTTGATTCACTTACAATAACGACAACAAAGTTTCTTGATACAAACATTTGATATTATAAAACAATATTTTCCATAGCACCTAATTCCATGGTATCCATTTCTTTTAATAGAGTATATTTTACACAGTGTCTATTCCCACAGTATATACTTCCATAGCGTCTATTTCCATAGTATCTATTTTCCATAGTGTCTATTTCCATAGTATCTATTTTCCATACTGTAGATTCCCATCTATATTGTTTATTTCCATAGCGTACATTTCCATAGTGTCTATTTCCATAGTATCTATTTCCAAACTCTAGATTCCCATAGTATACATTTACATAGTGCCCATTTCTATAATATCCATTTCCATATTCTATTTCCATAAGTCAGAGGACAGAGAGGCTGACGAATTGAGCAACTCTCACTCACTTTAAACGAAATACAGCTCAAGTCAAGGCTGCTACTCAAAGTAGAATTTGCTCTCTGTTATCTCCGCATGCCAGATAACCAACAACAACATTTCTTTATTATCTATTTCCATGGCATCCTTTAAAAGCATATGAAAATCATCATTACTTGAAAACTTTGTTTTTTTTAACAACAAAAAAAAAACAAGGCAATGCAAGTAGTAAATGGTGGAAGAAAAAAACCTGCTGGAAAGCTGGCATAGGGTGTTTATCATTACTAGGTCTGTACTGCACATAGCAATATTCATTTTGGCCATCATGAATCGGTTCAGTATTGCACATATTTTGTATCTACATCACACATATAATGCTAACATTTCATAGGAATGATATTTTGTACAGGAAAATAACATTATTGAAAAGAAACAGGATTGCACTTGTATGACGGAAGAAGAGCATCTAAAATAATAACAGAGAGACATAAAAATATCGGTTGGGTCACTCCTAAATCAATTTTTTTTTTCCTTGACGGGCTGAACAAGATGTTTATTAAAAACTTTAAACTTTTGTACAGGTGTGCCTCAAATGAAAAAGCAGGAGCTCACTTGTCTTAACTCTGGGTATCCAGACTTGTATTTGTACATCTTTTAATGGAAGGCTGGATCTTTAAGAACAGCATGGGGGGGAGGGGGGGTGTGTCCTGATGATGGACAACCCCACGTCACAAAACTTTGATGTTCTATCCCAAAGGCTTTCAATTAAATATAAGGTTTTGTTATTTTTTTTAAAAACTGCACCATTCATGTATGGTCAAATCTTTAACGCACTGTGCAGGTGCCACAACTCTCTGCTGCTTGTGAATTGTAGGGAAACACACAAAGCAATGCATTGAAACTTTCCTTAAAAAATGAGCTATTTTAAATATGCATACACTTGTAACGCCAGGCTATTGTGGAGCTACGAGTACTATGAGGCACATTGAGCAAATAATGTTTCGTGAAATCATTTGGATTCAATTTATCCTGTATTATAAGAATTTTATTATTTTAAAGACCCCCACTTCTTCAATTAGTTCAGATAGTGGAGTTGTAAAGCACACCTTAAAGTTTGGAACCTACTTATAAACTTAACACAAATATCAAACCAAAAAAAAAAGAAGATTTTCTTAAAAGCATGTGGTTATAACAAGTCTCGCATGACTGGAGATCAACAGCAATTATTTGAGAACAAACACAGGTTAATTCATGTTTTTGAATTTAACGTATCATCTTTTCATATCAAATTGCCAGGATGAATATGTTATCATCAAATATTTTCCTCATACTATTTGTCACATTTGTGCATATATAAAAAGTGATGACATGTAAGCGAATTAACTGATTTATGTTAAGTATTAAATAATGTCAAATGTGTGGCAAGAAAATGTTGTTTTTTTGGGGGGATGGGCAAACTAACTTAAGGGTCCTACTACCACACAGCTAAATCTATTTTCCTGTGACTCTGAACATTTTCCCTCTCCACTCATTGCTATTAGCCAAGAACTAAAACTGATAATAATTATCCTGCTGAGGAAACCATAGGGGACAAAATTATAAGAATGACTAGTGGGGTTTACTGCTGTATACTTGCATGCATAAATTACTGGTTATCTACACATGTGTCAGTCTCATCCATCATTGGGAGATCATGACTCTCACCTCCGTCTGTTGACCGGTCGGCATCTGCTTGGTCTGCCTCTGTGCTATTCCCGTAATTATTATTAGAATTGCTATCAGTAACATCCGATACACCGTTGACGTTAAGGTGTGCAACGTGCGGTGTCCCCGCACCCTTGGTCAAGACTTTGGAAGAATCTCTGTGGTGCCTCTCACCTGACCTAATATTATTTGCACTCGGGTCTTGATGCACAGAGGACGCTGGTGGTTCCGAGGCTGAAAATTTGGGATTTTGTTGCACCTGTCCATTGCTGGAGTCATATATCTCTTTGACACGCCCTGTCGAGTTGGGATCACCTCCAGGGATGCTGGCCGTATCTATCTTCTCTATCCCATGGACTGAGTTGCTATCCAAGTTATCAGCTGAGGGGTTACCAGTTTTGGTACTGGATGAATCCATGGATAAGTCAGACTTGAGAGAATCTTTGCCACTGCCATCTGATCTGTTGCCATCACTAACATCATCATCATCGCTCTCTTCGTTGCTCTCAGCAGCAGCTGAAATGATCGAATAAAATGGTGAATAAATGTGTTGTAATCCTACATTTTTAAAACTGAAAAAAAATTATATACCAGACAACAGAGGCTTGGACATTATTTGTAGTCACTTGTTTGCTATAGTAACAAAATGTTAACAAGTACTAATATGTGTATTTACTAGCTTGCTAAAGTAACAAAATGTTCCGAAGCTTAACCTGGTTTCATTGCCCTGGTAGAGCTTAGTGCACAGCTAAATGTAGCAGCTGTCAAGAGAATGACCAAAAACATAGCTATTATCTCCTTGGCCAAAGACTGAACTTTGAGACTGATGCTGTTTGTTGTCATTTGATTCAATTAATGTTCAAGACAAAAAAATATCTCTAAAGTTGTGAGCATGATTGCATGAAGGACCAGTCTTTCATAAATTGTGTATGCAATTGGGGTCAGACTAAAAGAACTTGAATACTTGTGTGCAAGTAAATGATATTTTTACAGAGTTTTAAAGTTTAAGATTGAATAGCTGGCCAATCAGCCAGATAACATGTCTTAGTACTTTGCTACTAAGCTATATCAAAAGTCTGGCATTGGGGCGAATTTCATTCTTTTAACTTTCATTTTGATGTTAAAAAATATTTTTTTATCGTTTTTTTTTTAAAATGAAAGGAGCTAGTTAAAAATAGATACAGGATATGATGTTTTGGGGCCAAACAAATGCAGTGGACTGACCTAATTTAGGATCTGCACCTCGAGGAGCAAAAAACTCTAGCCTGGGTGCTGTAGGTCTCTGCTTCCTTGCCGGGTTAATGTAGTAGCAGTAACAACAGCGAAAACCTGCAGGGACAAACATACATTACAGTATTTTAACAGAATTAAACCCTTAACCCTTTCATTACCGCCGGCTTTGGGCATCGATTTCTGCTGACTTAGCAATAAAAAAAACTTCAGAAATTTGCGGTATTTTTCATTCTCTATCTGATTTGCTTTTTAACTTCTCTATATATTAACGAATAAAGAAATATATAACATTGAAAAATGACATCGACGTGACGTCCTTGGTATTTCAGAAAAGTTCTTTGCCTCTTTGTTATGATGACAATGTGACGTCCTTGGTAACTGAAAGTGGGTGATCTAGATGATCTAGACGTCACGTCGACGTCATCGATAGCGAAAAGGTTAATTACCACAGGTTTGCTAAATATCAAGCTTGGCTTTTCCTATCAAAACAAACAAGTTTATGGAGACTTCCAGTGCCATGACAATACCTTACCACAAGATTTGAACACATGGACTGGAAATTTCTTGGTGATTTTGTGAAATTATTTAATATACTAGCTGAGGCAATGCAGCCATGTTGTGCGTGTAAAATACAGAAAGAGGTGCATAAGCGGGTACTTGCTTATAGTACAATGCAAAATGAAGGATAAATTGAGTAAAACATTGAAATATGTAATTTTGACTTAAAAGCCTTAGTTGAGAGAATTAAGCCGTAGAAACCTTTTAAAAGGGGTTAAACTCTATACACTTTCTTGAGCAGGGCAGACAAGAAAGACACTCTGGAATTGCCCAGCATTAATTTAGATTATTTTTTATCTCCTATAACTTTCCCAAAAACATTTAATTAATAGTTTCAAATTTGGTTTCCGCTATTTTTGCCACAATAAAATCAAACTTACTCAGTTATATAAATATAAGGTAAATTTATTATGGAAAAAAAATATTTCAACATGAGTCTTTTAAAACAAATTTGTACACAAATTATGGTAAGAATATCCTTCTTACATTCTATCAGTTTGAAAAATACCTACTCAAATATTCAAACTCCTCTTTGAGGGCCATTCCGTTGTGAGAGTGGCACTGAAAACAAATCAAGGCATATCTATTCTCCGGACCATCCCCAACCAAGTAGTCCATCAGTCTGTCCATGGTGCCCCTCTCTCTAGGTAAAACTGACCTGGGCATTGGTGGTCCTGGTGCCATGACTTGAAGCAAGAAAGAGAAAGGTGTGAGCAGTGAAATTTTAATTTAAATAATGTTTGCCTTTGGCTTGACGGACTTCACTAACATCCGTGTGTTAGCCTGCAGACAGTTAAACTTATGGCATGTCTGATCAAATAAGACCCACAAGAACTTGCAGTTAAAAATAACATTTGATTAATAAACAGTTAAACATTCGCAAGTATAAAAATGCAACTTTATGAAATATTGAGATGTGCCGGGGTTATTAAGACTTCAAGTTCAAGGTCCAGCATTCACAAACTTTCCCAAACCTTCAAAGACCATCTTTAAAAAAAAAAAAATTCAAAGACTCATTTATTATCATGTTCTAAACAGAAAAAAAAAATGAACTCTCCAAATTATAACTTAGATAAAAATTCTTTATGATACTATAGTATATACAATATATACATAAGAAAGCCAGCTTATCCTCATAGAGGATGTCCTTAAGCTTTTCAAAATATAACACAAAAGTATGGACAATGTTATATACATTTTATTCAGCTTAGTCTTCAAAAGTCATTTGCTGTTTGCCATGAAAAACTGAACCAAGCTTCCCAGGTCTGTTGCCAGAAATAGTAGCATAATTTGGCACAACTGGTTATAATTCTCGAGCAACCACTATGAAGGAGTGCAGCTCTGCCTTTAAGAGAGCGCAGGATTTGCTAGAGGGCTGTGGGAGGGATTTGCTTTTAACAGTCTTTACATAGATTTACAGATTTGGTATCAGCAGGATGGATCTTTCAGCTGGATCAATATTTGGTACCATCAGGAAATATCTTTCAGCTGGATCAATATTTGGTACCATCAGGATAGATCTTTCAGCTGGATCAATATTTGGTACCGTCAGGATAGATCTTTCAGCTGGATCAATATTTGGTACCATCAGGATAGATCTTTCAGCTGGATCAATATTTGGTGCCATCAGGATAGATCTTTCAGTTGGATGAATATTTTGTATCATCAGGACAAATCTCTCAGCTGGCTCAATATTTTCGAGCCACCTGCAATTAATAAAAATTTTGTGTTAGAATGTCAAAATTAAAGATTAAACTATGTAATAGTAATCAGTTTCAAAAAATTTCGTTTTCTATTAAATTACAGAAATAAAATGAAACTTATCACAACAACTTTATGAACTAAAAAGTTCTTAAATATTACCTGTGCTTGCAATACTTAAGAGGAAATTCAAAAGTATCTTTGAATTTGATGATAGTTAAACCTTCTCTTCTGGCTGGACTATCATGAAATAGGTTATATATGCTGATAAGGATATTTTCTTTGCCCCAGGACACTGCAGTACTTCCATAATGGAAATCATTGTGTAAAATAAGTAGCCCACAACTTAGCAGCTGAAATGGACCAGATCATTCAGTTTCTTTCTCTAACATGTTTCACTGCAGGACCATCCATAGATTTTTCAGCACAGTAAAACTTTTGTGTTATTTCACAAGTAGGAAACACGGCCTAGGAAGAATCTGCAGAGTCTTTGGAAGAATTGAAGCCTTAATGAAAATGATTCCAGCGTAAGGCGCTTCTGTCTTCGGCCAGAAAGACTGAATATTAACAGGGTTTACTGTTGATCCCTGTCCATGAGGGTCCCTTGATGATGATGGTACTGGGTCAGCATTATTACTTGTATTTAAATAGTCAGCAATGGGGGGGGGGGGTGTGTGTGTGTGTCAAAGGAACAGCAGCTTTCTCATTCTAAATGTGCTTTTCTTCCTAAAATGTAACAAAAAATTATTAATCACAAATAATGTCATATTAAAATTAAATGGTGACCTTAACTTTGGATAAAATTATTTGTAGTGGCCAAATTAGTTAATTAGTACTAGGAATTTGGCCTAATTAAATAGTTATAGAACAGAAACCCCAAATATATAAGTAATATTTAAATTTTAAATTATCCAACTTTTACTTCACTGAGTGAATTGATAAAAAGGTTTAAGTTACTGTAGCTTACCGTTTTCAAAACTGGTCACTTGTCCATCACCCATCAATGATATATTGATGGGAATTTTTTTTACAAACATTGCGATAGGGTTCCTCTTGTCATCAGCTATTTTTTAGCCAAAACTTGTATTCTGACTTATCAAGCCATATATCATTAAAAGAACAAACTCTAGGTACAATTAATATTGTAAACTTTTAAATAGATTTGAATTATTTCAATAGAAAACACACATGTATCGCTGATGCAAATTGAAAATGAGAACAAAGGCCAAAATATTTTACAAAAGAATGGGAAGGCCTGGTCAAAACAGGCGCGGTTACTTTGTGATCGCTCACTTGTTAAGATTTATTTGATGGGCTTATTAAAATCTATTGACCAATCAACACATTTTTTTCTTGCAGGGCTACAGATAATTAAGTAACGCACAATGCACATGTCAGCTAAATAGAAAAATCTGTGTTTTTCTTCTTCTTTTGACGTTTTAAAAATAATTGATTCCAAATTGTCAAAAGGCCATGACTTTTAATGTCAATTTGCCCAAACTTTTTATCCCTCCCCTAATCTTCAAAGGCCATACAAATCCTGTAGTTTTCAAAGTAACTTTAAATACAGTTTATTGGATTATAACTTTAATATAGCCAGCGATAAATTTAACTGTATCTCATAAGATAATAAAATCCTATTGAATTATAACGTTTAATTTAGCCTATTGCACTAAAATACTTCTGCGATCTATCTCTAATAGGACTTAATTTTAAAAAAAAAAAAAAAAATCTAAGTTAAAGTTGCTAAATTGCAGACCAGCAAGTTGGTAAGCGTGACAACAGAACATAAAGTCACCTACCGTAGCCTCCACCAGTGGGTACACTGCCCCTAACAGCTCCAGACATTCTTGGGTTCATTTGAGGTCTAGGTCCTGACGGGGTGGCATTGAAGCTGCTCATTGACTGTCGAACAGCTTGTGAAGGTGGAGCCATCATTCTGGGGGTGACAGCTTGCCTCCCTCTGGGAGACTGAACGTTTCTCTGATGGATTACTATTGGATCAGAATAAAAAGACAACTCAGTGGTTGGACTGAAATGTTCCTCTAGGGAGCTGGCATCACCACGGGGTGTGAGATGACATTTCAGGACGTGTGAGCTGACATTTCAGGACATGTGAGATGACATTTCAGGATGTGTGAGATGACATTTCAGGACGTGTGAGAATATAGCTCCCAAAAAGAACACTGTACCTGAGTATAAAATCCCTGTACACAACAAAAAACTAAAACCCCCTAATACTGGTTGTCAGTTATTTATTTTTTTAGTATGTAAATCAAGTGTTGTTTCTTTTTGCTTACAAGTTTTACAAGCAACCTTTACCCCCTTTTTATGTCAAGATTGGTTATGAATCTCCCAAAATAGTGTGTCAGTTTTAATTTTATACTGTAAAATGTTTTCGGTTTTGTCAACCTTGTGTTTTTCCTTTTTTCTTTTTTTTCTTTAGCCAGTTTATATCATTGGTCTCATGGTCTGAATTTATGAGGCAAACTCAGGAAAAGTAGAGAAATGTTTAACTTATTGGGGTGTTTATTTAAAATTTAACTTTCCTTTCTGAAGTTAGGTTTCGCAATTTATACTTGCAAGTTTTCAGCTACATTAAATAATGACAATAAAAAGTATAAAAGATGCTCATAACACTAAATTGCATATAAAGATAAACTGAGAAGCCTGAAGGAAATAATTATCTAAATACAAGACAAAGAAGAGTGCTTCATGAGGAAAGCATACACCAGCATTTAGCCAAATGCTAATGTTAAAAAATAACCCAACTTTAAAGTTTTAATAGATATTAAACTTGGAGGATTTCCATATTTCTTGTTTATATTTATACAAAAGATTTTATAAGCTCTCAAAACTACTTGAGATTCTCTTTCACAGGGCTAAGACCTATGTGAAGGATTCCAACAATGGCTATATATGTAGATACGGCATAGCAGATGTACACCATACCCATATTGCTATGTTTAGACACTACACTGTCAAGAAGTCACTTTACGTAGGCCAATGAGCCATAAACTTCATGTGAAGGATTCCAACAATGGCTATATATGTAGATACGGTATAGCAGATGTACACCATACCCATATTGCTATGTTTAGACACTACACTGTCAAGAAGTCACTTTACGTAGGCCAATGAGCCATAAACTTCATTTTAAACTTAGTAATACTGAATTTGCTAAAAACCTTACAAAACTGAGCTTGCCCTTTCAATGCTGGTGACATTAAAACAGCACAGTTATAAATTGTTACCCCAAAAAAAAAATGCTTAGAGTTGGTGGGGAAAAAAAAGCTTTGAGAGAGTGAAACTAACGCATTAGCCACTAACACAAAATAACTATAGCAGTTTTGGCAGTGGTGTGGCTGAAAATGCCATCCCTCTATAAGCCAGTGCATTTCTGTGATGTCACTATAAGCAAAATGATAGACTACAGCTAAAAGTAAAAAAAACCACCATTAATCATTTCCTTAAAATCACACAAGTCGCTTGTAATGATTAAAAAAAGAAAAATCAATTTCATTTTCAGTAAAGAAATATTTTGGGGCATATTTACTGACCTGTGCCAGTTGAACTTGAAGATGGCACGTTGGATCCCATCAAACTATTTTGCGCTGTGCCCTAACAATAGAGACACACACAAAATTAGGTGATATTAAAAAGAAGAACAAGAAAACCACAAGGAAATAATTATTTGAATACATGAAAAAGAAAAGTGCTTCATGAGAAAAGCATATACCTGTATTTAGCCAAATGCTAGTGTTAAAAATAACCAACTTAAAAAGTTTTAATAGATATTAATCTTGCTGGCTTTCTATATTTCTTGTTTATATTTATACAAAAGATAAAAAAAAGCTCTCAAAGCTACTTCAGATTATCTTTCATAGAACTAAGACCCATGTGAATGATTCCAACAATGGCTATGTATGTAGATACTGCATAGCAGATGCATAAATTGCTGAAAGCAGCATTGCAATGAGTGGCATGACTTTCCTTTTACACATAATTAAAAGGTAACTGGAGGATCATCATTCAGATCCAGTGGCCATTTGAGAATGTGCCTTTAAATTGGAGGATTAATTCTCAAATTAATTTTAACTTGTACTTAGATAGCAATTAGAGACCTTGTGCAACACAATGATATTATTGTTATTAGAAGTAGTTGTTTTATATAGCGCGCTACCCCAGCCTTGGGCTGGGCTACCCACGCTGTACATACAATTTAACAAACTTAATCATGAACTTAAAAATTAACATACTCTAATATAATATACTGTAAGCTTATTTAAAAAAAAAAAAAACAAGAAGAGTCTGGGTTTTTATGAGGACTGCCCTGAGATTTTCTCTCAAATATCTGATGAAATTCATAAAATTCCGAAAAGACCTATGGTTCCAAGCCTAACTGCATCAGCCATTTGATGACCTATTCACCATAAAGTACATCAGTACAGAGATTTCCAGCGAGATTTCACAATTGCCTCTGGGATGGACCAATGCCAAAAGAGAAAGTAAACGATGTTTAGAACTTAATGGAAAACTTTTTAAAATTGCTTATGGGCTATTAAATAGTCAAATCTAATGTTTGGCTGCTACAATTAACAGTGTGTTTTACCTCTAGTTGTCTGAGTCGGGATGGATCAAATTTCTCCAAAATTTCTCTAGCTTTTTTATAAGTTTCAGTCTCCATGACATCTTCAAGCTATTGAAATAGATCAAATAAAAATATATAATCTGAGAAGAAAACAAAGAACATACTTACAATTTTACTTTAAATCCTTATGTATAATGTAACTAGACTAGAATAAAAATTAGAATAGACAAAGCACCATGACATAGAAAAATATGTATGCCCCATTCTGAGAAATAAAAGACCGTTTATGTCCAGAGTAATAGACAGAGTAAAATGCTGATACACACAGACAGCTTTAAATGACTGCTTTACAACATTTGTGCTGTCTGGAATAGGGCAACGCAAAAATAGGAAGGAGGGTTATTGTAAAGAAATACATTTTCAAATGCCATCTATACATCAACATGCACACATACACATCATATCCATACACTACCTAACCACCATAACATAACAGATGAAATTAAATACTCACAATTTGTTTCTTCTTTTCTCTGAGACTCTGCAGTGCTAAATCTAAGTTAGAAAAACATTTAAATGATCAGAACACATGTCAAGTTTTGTGTTGGTTGGCATTGTCCATCTTGGAGGGACCCAAGTAGGTGCCATCTTGTAGGTGAGAAATTCTCTTTACCGAAACTATGAACCCTGTGCAATGTTTTTTTTAAAGAGAAACAATAAATGTTGCACAAGCAGCAGATTCCCTCTCTTCGTGAGCACAAGGGAACATCAAATGGCTGATACAGCATGGCACCAACTGTGGCGAAGGTGTTTCCAGACTTACATTCAAGCATTTTGTGTGCTAAATATACTTTCACATATTAATACTTGTATTACAGCCATAAAAGAACAAAATAACTTTTATTTGACATTCAGCAATCTTGGTTTGTAATATTTGGATTGGGTGCTAGGTGGCCGAGTAGTCTAAACTGAGCAAAATCTCAAGTTCAATCCCCACCAAAGTCAGTCAAGCAAAAACATCACCAGCACCCTAGGAGGATGGCAACTCATCTAAGAAAAGGAAATGAATTCAAAAACCCAGAGATGGAGTCCCGTAGGTGGATAACATTGGTACAATGAAACATTCCGGAAAACTCCTGCAACGCCACTGGTGCCAAGGCGTATCATTCACATGATGTCCCCTTGGGTTATCCAGTGGCGTATAGAGAAGCGATTTGCTGTTGGGAACCAGCTTATAATCCTAGAATAATAATCCCAGGCCTCGTGGATTTTCATCCTGCGAAGCCCACACCATTGTCACATTGTGACGGATGGATGCCAGCAGCAAAAAATATGTGGATAATAATAGAAAAAATATAACATTTATGTTTCTATTTATGGTGTTGTAGATATTGTATTACATACCATTTGAGGATATTCTTTTCACAAAGTACCAGTAAAGCAACTTCTTTAGTCCCCATATTCTGAAACAGCAACATAAATAATTTTAATAACAAAAAGTTTGGAAACTCTGTTAGTCATGCTTGAGTTACATTTTATATAAATTAGCCCGTGTGAGTTGATAAGACAGAAATAGCAATGGCGATAGGGTTGGTGCAGGGCTAATGAGTGTGACAGAAGAATCCATTATGTAATGCCGTGTAAGGGATTCAAGTACTAGTAAGTAACAACATGGCAAATTAAATGTAATCTCTGCAAGACTCCCTGGTCTCATGATTTCTGCCTGAGCACAATGTGTTGGTTACTTTCAATAAGTGTTACATTAACACAACAAGGCAGGTGAGTGTGGAGATAACACACCAAGAGAGGTAAACTTAAATTAGAATTCGCCATGGATTAACAATGCTGACTTGCAAACCTCTGCAAAATGAACCCTGCAATCCTGTATTTCATCGCACACTGCTCTTCCATCCTTTTCATCCAAATCTTCTGTGCACTGCAGTCTCTTTCTCTTCTTTTTGTCATCCCCCCACCCACTCTTCCCTTTTTTTCAAAATCTAGTTTTAATTTTTTGCGGTGTTATTTACAACCCTTTCATTTTTAAAAGCATTTCTTGTGTACATCTGACTTGCTCATTCAGAGCACTTAAACAATTCATTAGCTCAGTCTGGAATCATGATAAAATACTCAGAACTTGTTTAAATAAGTTTGACAAAAATTAATAGTTATAACATTTGAATATAATTTTTTTTTAAATTCTTCACCATCTGAGCTTTTTGCTAATTTTCTGATCGATATAAAGGCTTATAGAGAAAACTTAAATAAACCACTTAGTTAAAAAAATTACGGCAAGTCTTTTTTCTGAGCCGATTTTATGAATCAGTCCATTGTAGTAATATAAATATAGACCCCCTCCACCTTCTTATTATACTTAAAAAATACACATTCACTTCACAAGGAGTTAAATATAATTCACACAAATCAATAATAAAAAAATATCTGTGGTGTATATTTTGATTTATATTGTAACAAAAATATAGTGCAGAAATATATAACATTGAATATTATTGAAAGATAAACTTATATAAATCTTCATTCCTCCTATTCTAAAATTTTTCCCATTATCTCTATTTCATTACATTTTTTAATCTTTATTTTTAATAATGCATCTTTAGACTTCCTTAATGTTAAGCTGTCCTGACTATAAGCATACATTAGTCATACAATATTAAAATGTTAAAATATATAGATTTTATGTAAACTTACATGAATGGGAATGCCAAAAGTGGAAGGGAGTACACCAGTCTTAGCCCCCAGGTTTCGGGAAAGTACAGAAAAAAGAAGACAAGGGCTGCAATTATGTAGACAATGATGGAGTAAATGAGAAAACTTGTCACAAATTTCTTTAGCTTGTCTTGATTCTCTTTCCGATTTCTTTGAAGACGGGTAATCTCCTAAGATGGCACACAAGAGATTTTTTTAAAAATGCATCATATGCTGTGAATAAGCTAAATTTTGCTGTAGTTATTTTGTAATGAAGCATGAACTGTATTATTAAAATGTAAATAGTTTTTAAATTCAAATTTATATTTTTGTTAATTCTTTAAAATCATCAGAGAAAATGGCTTCTGTTTGTTTACATTTTGTTTTTTAAATTGTTAACCTATATAACATATTTAAAATACCTTTTCAATTCCCTCTAAGACTTCAATGGTTGTCTGCTGCCGCTATGGATGAAAAAAAAAATGGATGAGATGCTCATCTATAAGCACTAGCAGCAACTGGGAAAAACCTAACCATAAAAATCCTTTTGAACTAACCAGTGTAATAGCTTTATATTTTCAACAGGTTCATGCAGTGTCAAAATACATACTTGCAGTTGTAACCTCGTGTGACACCCAATGTAACTCATTTCAGTAAAATTTGTTGTAGTTTACAATGGTGTCTGCCAGCTTTCAAAAGGTATAACATGCTAGCATTTCACTTTGTAAGCCTAATAGAATATCATCATGACAATTTTCTGCATGCTACGCCCACAGCTTGCAAAAAATGACCTGATGTGTATACTGCATGTCATATTGCATGGACAGTCTGAGTATTTCCATCTGTAACCATCAGGTGACATGGCAAATCAGACTTGTGACATGGCAAATCAGACTTAAGACATGGGATGTTGACAACAGTTATGAGATGGTGTTCTGCAACCCATTCTAACCAAAGCATGCTGTCACACATAGCCTTCCGCATTGTGTCCTAAAATTGCTGAATGTTTCCTGGCAAAACATAATTTGCAAAATGAACCGGTGTTTGTGGTCTGCCAGCTATGGTATTGTTTATTTTATATTATTACAAGCAATTAGTCTGCAAGATTACTCCATTCATTTTCATTCGGAGTCGCAGTATTTTAAGATGTAAACAAATAGCCTACATCACCAGTTATCAGGAATCAGGGCCACCTGGCACTTTCTAACGAACAGTATACTATTTGACATTTGTGAACGCTGTTTGGAGGATTGCCGAAAACTCAGCCCAACACCTGTGGCCTGTCTGTAAGTGTAAATGTAAGCATATATCCATTTCCAGCCCAAACACTTTTTAAAAACTTTTAATATTTAAAATCCATTTATTATTTTTTATAGAATAGATAATAGGCCCCTATATTATCAACATGACATAAGCCTACAATAGATTAAAAATAAATTTAACAGGACCAGCATAAAGTTCCCTTCACTGCCTACAAACTTTTCCTTTCCTTTTTACTAAGTTGTAAGTAAACATTACCTTACTCAACTAACTAGCTAAAACTTCTTTTTCTGATGAGGGAGTGTGGTGTGACTGTGCTAGTACTAGTAGCACTATTACTTGTTTGTTTATTTACAGTATTATATTTAATCATTATACGGTGGTCTAGTCTCAGATAGTAATACTAACACTAACAGTTCAGTAACACTAACGACAAAGTCTAACCAACTTATATTATAATCGTAACCAAGTATAATAAGTAAAAGTTACCCCCCATACCAGGTCAATTGCAGTTTGTCCTTTTAATTGAATTGAAGTTATTACCCTCCCTATCTCAAACTGATAAAATAAATATAGGAAAAATATGTAAGATAATGTCAAAAGTTCTGAAATAAGATTTATTAGGTCTACCTTAAACCGTGCTATAATTGCCCCCATTTCAAAGCAATATTAATTCTTATTCTGCTTAGTCCAAGGACCGACAATACTCCGAAAGTACCGTCAATACGGTTATAAAAATAAGTATATTGACGTTGATGTGTAAAAATAGGTAGATCCTGTTTTTTAAACTGCATCCTAAAAACTTTAAAAACATGAAATATTTAATTTTAATTATTAGTGAAACATTTTGATAATTTTTTTTTTTAAATATTAAAAAACATTACGATTATTTTGAGAAACCATTACATTTTTAAAAATCGTCGAATATGCCGTGCCATAAGGCTATAGACCAGGGGTCACCAAACTTTTTTCACGGCGGGCCGGATAACGGAAATAAATGACGTGCGCGGGCCGCATAATCATTCATCTGAATCATTCTGCACAATACTTATTGCAAACAAGAACGAAAGCTCTGGGGAAAAAAAGACGAAAAACTAAGTTTAGTATCCCATGTTAATCATGGGTGCATGGCGTGCAATGTACAAAAGGCAAAGACAACCAGCATATTTATTTACTTAAAAAGTTATCAAAGACAGTTACACCAGACCGAGTCCGCACATATTAGAATCTCACAAACTAACTAAGCAGCAAACAAGTTTAGTTTAGTATAGGCTAATCAATGTTTGCTTTGGAATTGCGGCATCAAATCAAGATAATTTCAAATATTCATCAGTCCCTTTCGTTCGATGTGTTGACTTCTCATACTTCATTTTTGAACATGTTTCCTCACAGTCAAAAGTTGTTCCATACAGGCTGCAGACGGATGCCAACTCTTCCTTTATCTGAAATTGAAATTCCAAATTGAAACCACAAATAAACACGAAACGTTGTGTGAGCAGGGTCGGCGCTAGGGGGGTGCAGGGCCTTGGGCATATTGAATATTGCGGGGCCTTTGACGTTATATATTCCGCTGATAGGATATTAAGTCACTTTATGGTCATAATTGGACGCCTCATATCATGACGGATATTTGTTCACTCCGCGTTAGGTAATTTGGGCCAGGGCAATTAACTGTTATAGGAAAACAATTAGGCAATCAAATGGCCGATGCATCAACCCAATATCCAGAGAATCCACCCAGTGAAATACATCTCATCATCTTCATGGACTTTGGCCTGCATGTACCGCGCCCTTCCACTCAGACCAATCCATGGCCTTTCGTCGCCATACACAGGGGGACACCCCCCTCACCATCATTACACAACAATCTCGGTAATCATGTGAATTGTTTGCCCCTTTTTTTCTGTCTGTACAACACTTATATAAATATATATATGACCCGGTGTTTCCGTGACCATAATGAAAGGTATTTGTGCTACTTTCAACTTACTATTTAGTAGACTATTGCAAAGTCTGACCATTTTAAAGTTACTTAAATATCTAACCGAATCGGGTTGATTTATCCTCAAAAAAGAAAATACGAAAGTTTTCAACGCCCTTTAAATATATCTTTTCTTTAGGAAATAGTAAATCAGAATTCCATTTTTTTTTTTTAAAAAAGAAGTATTTATGTATAGATGTTTTCGTTTCATTGTTTTTTATTATTTTGTCTGTGTGTTGTTGTTGTTTTTGTTGAGTTTTTTTCCCTTCTGATATAAGACTACTTAAGCCCCCTTTCACGCTTCGTACTACATAGAAAATTAAAAAAAATAAAATAATAAACACATTTTTTTTTAATTATAAAAAAAATTAATTAGCTTTAAAAAAGATTCAAATCTACGTACATTTTCAAATATGTGTAACATTGTTTGATTTTGAAATATTTGTATCTTCATTAAAATAAGTCCTGCCCTGAGCCATAATATTGTTAAATCATTTTAAACAAAAATATTCTTATAACTATAGAATGATCTCTTAACCACTTTTCTCGTCTGTAACAGCCACTCTTGTAATACTCTTGTATTTTTTTAAAATCTCAAAGAAATGTCTGATGCCCTAAACTGTATTTTGTGCAAAATGAAACATGAATTTATTTCCTTATATTTAAAGACAATCTTAACCCCTTTTGGTTCACGCCCTTGACTTGTATTTGTTTGGGAAATAAATGAAAAAAAAAGACATCAGTTTCTATCATAAAGATTAAATTTTCACGCCAGTAAAGTTAGCTGCCCTTATTTGGGTTTTAGATATTGTTACCCACATAAAAATGTAAACATTCTCTTTCTTTCGAATATGCATGCGTTGTCAAGAAATGTTTAAATTTTAAATGATACATTTTGTAATAAAAACATTGTTTATGTTGTTATCCTCATAAATATTTGCCTATAATCTTATCCGCGTCCCTGAACTGCATATTTCTAAGATATTGAAAATTATTATGTCCCTTATTTTCAAAGAAAATCTCATCCAACATTTTCCCATTTCCAACTTCATTGAGCTTTATTAAGGTGTGGTTAAACTTATGTAGAAAACGTATGTCTACAATGTGTCAACGCCCCTGTAACACTAAATTGTAATGTGGTTTTTAAATTTTTATTTAAATTATTTTTTGAGTAAGGGTAACTACTTAATTAATAAATGATTTTTTTTTTTAATTGCGTAAGAAGGGTTCCAACATAAGAGAGTACTGCTCATATTATTTTACATGTTGAACGAAAATGAAAAAAAAAAAATTAAAAAAAAAAAAAAAACAAAAAAAAATAAAAAAAAAAAAAATTAAAAAAAAAAACAACAACCCACAAACATACTTTTATAATTAACTTTTCAATATATTTGCAAATTTAACCAAAGTCAAAAAGAAAAAAAAAACTGATTTGTAGAATGGTCTATATATTTTAATGGGTTTTTAAAACTGGTCATTTTTATAAATCATATAAAAAATAAGTACTCTGAGAATGGCATAATTGAAGATGTTAGATATTTACAAAAGACATCATACATATTTAATATTGTGTGATTTTGTCTGAGGTAAATCGTATACATTTCCCAATATTCAGTTGATTGAATCTTGAAACATTTATTATTTCAAACTGCTAAAACTTTCTTCAGATAAATTGCAAATTGCCCCTTGGATCTACTTTAACACATAAATTTTATTTGCAAATTGACGATTTAGAAAAAAAACCATTTTTTTTCTAAAACAACCTAGAAAATTAAAAAAAAAAAATTGAATTGGCAAGGTAATTAAAATGATAATTACTTTTTTTTGTTTCAGCTTCGTACTGGAGTCTCATTAAGAAAAGTTAAATTTAAAAAATGTGTGCAAATAGGTGGAGCAGATTGTTTATTATTCTGATATTAAAAAGAGAAAAGCAGTTGGGAACTTATTATCTATGGGTTAAGTATTGAACATTTTAACTCGGGGGAAACTTTGCTACAATTACAAAAGTGGCATATTTAAAGAAAATACCACTGCTTTAATTATAATAACAATTGACGAAAAAGGCACTGTTTTTATGATTTATGGGGGGTGTTCTCTGAGGTCCCCCCCCCCTTTCCCTCCCAAGAGATGCCTGAAAGAAACACTGCGCAGCACTCCCCAACTCAAATATCTTATTTAATTTGTAATAAACATCATGTACCCCCAGGGCTTGCCTGGATCAAATCTTGTAACTCAACTTTGACCCACTTCCTGATCTCCAACAGAGCTATAACAAAGAAAATTGAGATCATGGGCGAGTGTCTGAGACCCTGTCAGTCACACTTTTATAAATTCACTGGATACATGACATGGATTAAAAAAAAAAAGGTTTATTATTTACATTCAGCTACAAAATTTATTATTATATAGCCTGCCGAACAATGGTGGTGGCACTCGTGAACTTCCTCTCTACTGAAATTACTTGATAAAACATGAATCAAGCAGTGCACTTCATTTAAATTTCATTTACACCCCCCCCCCCCCCCCCCCCCTGGCACTCGTGAACTTCCTCTCTACTGAAATTACTTGATAAAACATGAATCAAGCAGTGCACTTCATTTAAATTTCATTTACACCCCCCCCGCCCCCCAAGGTATGCAACCTCACACTTTTTTCACGCCCCTGAACTAAATTAATAATTTAATGTCCCATCCCATTTTACACTTCAGATTTGTAACACCCTATTTAAACTGAGACTCTTTTATAAAATAAAATATTATGCACCAAAAGCGCTTGCAGTACTTCTGAGAATAAGGGTCTCATTTAGCGCAGTTTAAAAGAAATGTTATTTTGCTGCTATTGAACTCACCATTACACCATAACATCTTTCATACCTAGGGAATTATATGTATTGATAATATATATATATTATATATAAAATTCCTTGAAACATGAACACAAATTTATTTTACATTAGAAGACTGGTTTATAGGCATTGCATACAAAAACCTTTTTATAACAATGTAAGTTCATGTGAAAATATTTGGCAAGAGACAATGTTATTGAAAATTAATGAAAGCTTTAAAAAAAAAAAAATGTATTATAGTAATTATTTGTAAAAGAGTATTTGTAATGATTCTCTATCCTCTTACTGTTATGCCTTGCATAATATCACTTTTTTATAATATCATGCACTTGTAATCCCATCTGCCTGTTTATTTATCAAATCATATTTAAGAATCAGTTCTATTCAAAGAGAAAAAAATGGAGAAAAAAAAAAAAATATATATATATAGGTGGATCCCTTTGCTGGAGAGAGCTTGACAGAGGTTGTGAATTGATATGTTTTTTAAAATTTTTAACAAAAATAGCCAGAAGTTCCAAAAATTTTACGACTCACTGCACACTTGCTAAATTCAGGTATTCCCAAGGTTCTGTTAGAAGTCTTGTCCAATTTTAAAAAGTGCACTGCACAATAGTGAGATTTTAAGGAATAGTTTTTTACTTTGTGGTGCATGTGAGGAAACCATGGAGCACAGTTTGGGACACCTTGAAATAGGCTATATATTGCATTTTGACTGGCCTTCATTACCTAATATTTATAGGCTACCGCCACAAACTTTGGCCCACTATTTCCTAAAATGTAATAAAACACCTCAGGGTCCAACAGCACCTCGGGGTCCATACAACACCTCGGGGTCCATACAACACCTCAGGGCCAATACAAAACTTACAGGTTCATACAACACCTCAGGGTTCATACAACACCTCTTGGTTCATACAACACCTCTGGGTTCATAAAAAACCTACAGGTTCATACAACACCTCTGGGTTCATACAACACTTGTCGCAAAACCTTAATAAAAATTCCCCCCCCCACCCCTCACCTTTGCACCGTACTCAGCAGTGAGGTACTTATCTCCCCACGTTTTCGTGTCATTTGTTTAATGCTATTTGTAATGATTGTCTCTGCTTGAATAATATCAGTAGTGCATGAAGTCATGAAGGTTTCTCTTGAACACAAGCAGACAACATAAGGCATCATCATGTCATTTGTTGAATCCTATTCGTAATGGTTGTCTCTGTTTTGATAATATCAGTAGTGCGTGAAAGCCAAACAGATAGCATTTGACACAAACTAATATCGTTTTTTCTGTTGTTTTGTTCTCTGACAAAGGCTTTCTGCCGACACGTTCGTTGTTTTGTTGCGTTTATTTTTTCTGGTTTAACCCTACTCTGTTTTACTCATTTCACATTGTAATACTAGGCTGACATCAACACTCGCCAACATAATATAGAATGTTCTCAATTTTTAATCTAGGGCTAACAGTGCACTGGCAAATCAACAAAAAGGCTCTCACATTGGTGATGCAAGCTTACTGGCCAAAAACAGAAGGTTCTCACATGGAAATCTCATTACCCAATTACAGTGGTTCCCAACAGGAACTTTTAATGTTCGCAAAAAAATTTCAAAATCTAAATTTGAAAACATTTTTTCACTGTACATAACTTGGTCCCATGAATTTGTAAGGTTAACTACTGTATATATACTCATCTATAAGTTGAGGGCAGTTTTTTTATAAACAATTATGAACTATGCTATGACTTGTGGATAAGTCAAAGGTAAAACTTTGTGGCTATGAAAATTCTGTGTTTTTATTATTTTGTCAGATATTACCTAGCAGCAATCGCTACACTGCACACTAAACCATGGCCGGCGTCATTAGGCCTACATTCTCTTGCAGTCTGTAGTATCAATTGAAATCCCCGCAATTTACTTCAGTGTCCTCTCTCCTACTGACTATAGAGGCTGACGGACTCACCGGTCAATGATGGTAAGGTATCAGATTTCAGTCAAGCATCAACAGCTGTTTTTGTGTGAGTCTGCATGCATCAGGTATCTGGGGCAACATACAGCTATGGGTAAGTACACTAACTTGACATTACCCCACAGTCAATGTAATAAATGCACAAAATTCTATCGAAATCAGCAATGACTGGTGGATTAGTCGACTCGGTGTTTTAAAATGAAGTTTGCCATTGAAATCTCTCGACTTATAGATGAGCACATACGGCATCTCATATAACAAACAATGATTAAACTGTCAAATGCCCTGCAAATGATTGATTTAATTAAGAGACAGACGTTAAATTGTATTGAATACTAGGCACTTCAAACAATTTTTATAATGTGAACATATTGTAGAAAATTAACATAGTTTGACTAAATCAATAAGTAAAAAATGTTTAAAAAAATATTTTTGACAATCAATGCTGAATTTTGATTGACAGTTCAGGTCATAAATAAATATATTTCATTGAATTATGTACACAATCATGTACACACATCTACAAGAATAATGCCATTGATTCAATAGCAAACATATTTATCACGATTTATAACATTTACACTTTGTAAAAAAAAGTATAAAATGTATCATTGCTTCGTTAGGTTTGAGTGAATTATTATATTATTATCATATTATTATTATATTCCGACAGCTTTCAGCAGCTTCGTTTTATCGTCGTCTTCGCAGGCCTGTTCTATGACGCTGGAGTCCTCAATGCTGGGTGAAACCTCTACCTCACAGTCATCGATGTCGGCGCGGCCATACGTGGTCTTGATGAAAAATAGCAACGGCATGGCCATCGTTATGGTCCCAAAGAAAAACCAGTTCATCCACAGTTTGCCTTAAAGAGTAGAAATTGCAGGGGGGATTTTTTGTGAGCAGAACATCAAAATGATTCATCTCATGAAATATCACTGATTACAAAATTTTTAAAATTGTTATGGTTGTAACCACTTGGAAAACAACAGCCAGCATTACACAGAAAGTGCAGACATTCATAAACACATGCCTTAGAAAAATCCTGAGCACCAAATGGCCAAATACCATCACCAACAAAGATCTACTAGAAGGGACATACCAGGTGCCCATTGATGAAGATATCATAAAGAAAAGATGGAGGTGGATAGGGCATATACTTTGAAAACCCTCAGATAGCACCACCAGAAAATGCCCAACATGGAACCCACAGGGAAAAAGGAAGAGAGGAAGGCCTAAGAATACATGGAGACGTGAGCTAGAGGCAGACACGCAAAATATGGGATATGCCAGGAAGCAATTGGAAAGGAAAGCACAGGACCGTGATGAGTGGAAAATTCTTTTAGACGGCCTATGCCCCAGACGGGGTAAAAAGGCATAAGTAAGTAAGTAAGTAAGTAATAGTTGTAACCACTGTGACAGTTGTAACCACTGTGACAGTTGTAACCGCTGTGACAGTTGTAACCACTGTGACAGTGTAACCATTATGACAGCTGAAACCATCATGACAGCTGCAACCATCGTGGCAGTTGAAACCATCGTGACAGTTGAAACCCTCATTATCAGGTTTCTCTTTAAATCTTTCTCATCTTCTCACACAAACAGAATCACCTATGTAATAATACGCAACACAAATGAAATTAATGTTCTAAATACATGGAAACACCAATTAAATAATATTCTATCAAAATAAAAATTGAACTTTTATTCCTATCACAACACACATGAAATCATTCATCTTCACCACAAACGGAGCACTCAAAAACACACTTGGTGCCACTCACCTATGGATTCAATCTGTAAAATGCTGAGAAACAAAATCCCAGCCGAGGCACAGATCATCTGCAGACATCCAGAGGTGACCCCTTCCCCTACCGGGTAGGAGACCTCAATGACCAGCTCAAAGAAGAGAGGAGCCCCGCCATCAAGGAACACACCACCAATGACAATGGCTGCGTATATACTCACTTTGAGAAGAAATTGTGAGAACTTAAATGTTACTTCATGAACTAAATGGATTAGCTTTCAGGGCAAAGCCAATAATAGCTTCATGGGCAATGTCAACATTGGGTTTCTGGGTAACATTACCATTAGCTTTTTGGGCAACTTTAAAATTGAGTTTCTTGGTAATGCTGACATGAGTTTTTGGGGTGTCTGAAAATGTCAGATTGGAATGTAAGAGAGGTGTATTAACATGGAAGTCTGTGCTAAAGTTATATAAATAGAGGCTCCCTGATTGAATTTTTAACTAGACAAATCAGCATTGAAACTGCTTACCAACATCAAATGGTAAGATATCCATCACAACCAAAGTGCACCACAAAATGGCAACGGCTGAGAAAAAGTAGAAGACTAGGAGGAACAGTTTCATCTGACGGGTAAAATAGTCTGCAAATCTGTTGGCCAGAGAAGAAGGTATTTAAAAACTTTTTGTTTTAGGTCTTCAATTTGGAGGCGATGAATGAGTAGGTGGTCAGATTGGTAGGACACCTCATCCTCTCCTCATTTAACCACACTATCACCTCACCTCACATCATTCCCAAATCAATGCCTCCCATCACCTCATCCTCTCCTCACTTAACCACACTATCACCTCACCTCAAATCATTCCCAAACAACACCTCACATCACTGCATCCTCCCCTCATCTCACCTAACCCCTCGGTCACCTCACTTCACCATACCATCATCTCATATCACCTCTTTTCAATGGTAGGAAGCAACAACAAATGAACGAAAAATATCTAAATTAAACAATGTGAACATTCAGCTTGACAACTTCCTATACGGCAGCTAACCCAAACCTTAGACAGAAAACCCCAAGAATTGGGCAAGTTGATGTGGCATCAGTATATTTGATAGCAAAGCTCAAGCCTCACTCTTTCTATCCTTCTGTTCATTGCCAATGACTTGTATTGTTAGGGAAATAACATGCACAATTTTCAGGGTGATAAAAAAAAATTATGCTTCCTTCCATAAAATGAGCAATCTATTCCTATTATTTTTCAATTCACAGTGAAAGTCTGCAACAGAAATATCACTGGGCAATTTTTAAAGTCTTTGCAACTTTTGGAAAAAAAAAGAATGATTATGAACCAGGGAATATGTTTTAATCTTAACCGAAATTCAGACAGTACCTTGAAACCAACATTCCTGATATGCACCCTCCTAAAGTGGCATAGAAATCCATCCAGCCAGCAGTTTCCTGGATGAAATATTGGAGAGAAATAGTTAATACAAAAAAAAAAAAAAATAGTTCACATTTAAAAAAATTCTTTTGCTTCCCTTTGAAACCAACATTCCTGATATGCACCCTCCTAAAGTGGAATAGAAATCCATCCAGACAGCAGTTTCCTGGATGAAATATTGGAGAGAAATAGTTAATACAAAAAAAAAAAAAAATAGTTCACATTTAAACAAATTCTTTTGCTTCCCAGCACATATAGCTTATAATGAGCAGTGATGCTGTGTTGGGAAGGGAGAGCCCCAATTCTACGTCATTTAGAAATCTCACTTACATTACAGTTAATTCCCCTTCCTTTTGGTTAGAGCTAGTATAATACAATGTTCCAATTTTAAAATAAATTAAAAAAGAATAACCTCACATCTGACATTCAATTCAACAGTCTTCTTCAAAGTCAATATGTTCATAGATCTTTTTTTTTCATCTTCTAAAAATTTGTTGCATCACCTACCCACAGACTTGAATAAAAAAATATCAAACTTATGCTTTCATAGTCAAATGTTGGAAATTACATTGTTTTTATTGATAGTTCTGTGGCATTGAGATTTTACAATTAGAAAAACTAGAAAAAGTTATCAATACAAATTTATTATAAACTAAATCATCTTGTTTGACTGTACCTGTGAGACTCTAGAGTCAAAGATTACATCTAGGACAACTTGCCAGACTTCATAGACACCTATAGGGACGCTGTACGCAACAGCTGTCACCCAAAACTGTTTATTTCTGCAAGAGTAAAGGCACTGTGTAAGCGTTGTATAATAAAGTAATTTAAAACACTATATGTAACTGCCAGCTAATGGGTGATTTTCTTTGCATCATTCAAACAACGGTAAAAAATTATGGAGTTTCTCCCAAAGTTCTTAACTGAACGCAGAAGCAAAAGGTCTATACTCAAATTCATATTAAGCATATCTAAAATCCAGTTAATATTCAATATGTCTACAACAAACAAACTGATGTTAATATATCTAGAATTACATTCACATTCAATATATATAATCCAATTCATATTCAATATATATAATATCCAATTCATATTAAATAAGTCTATAATCTAATTCATAGTCATTTAAACAAAAAAATTTATACGCAAAATAAAACTAATAACTTAACAGCCACCACCAAGTTGAGGCTGCAAATAGTGGTAAGTACCACGTAAAGGAAATACCCATTGTCTCATATTCAATATACCTGGCTAGCATCTTGAGGCCAGGCAGATATTTCTCCCTGGGTATGGAGGCGGACACACTGGGTGGGTGGGGTGGTTTGGATGGAAAATAAATGATCACAAGTAAGAACAGCACTCCAGCAGCTCCACATTCTGTGACATGGTCAGAGGAAACAAAGATTTATATATATATATAATGTATATGTTTAAGGTAAAATAAGATATGGTTGCAGGCATCTTTGAAATGTATCTATATATTCTAGCAAATGGTATTCTTCATTTGGCATATTGTAAACATTTCTGTCTTCTATATCTTGAAATACTATCAGTCAATTATTTATACAGTTTGTCTAGAAATTATTATTGTAACATAAAAAATAACCTATTTTTATTCTTCATATGATTACAACATAAAATATGGAACAATCTATTCTATATATAAATATTAAAAATATATACACTTTACATGCCAACCTGTATGGTTTCTTTATTTTTTACAGTTTTTAAACATTTTAAAATATGTACCGCCATACAAGGTTTATTATGGATTTTCAAGAGTTTAAAAAATAAAAAAATTAAAATAATTTAACATGAATTTTTTCCCCACACAATACAATAAATTCATTGTAGGTGAAAAGGATGCTTAATTCCTATAGGTCAGTTCAAAACCAACTTTGGCCTCATTGGTAGGCCATTTAAATCTAGGATCTAAAAAAAAAAATCTGAGCAAGGTTCCGCCATTAACTATGTAATATACGTGTAACTATTATGGGGATTCCTTATGGTAGTAGCTACTTTGAGAAGCAAACCATAATTTACAAATCTGTCGGTCATTTTGTGACTATTAAAAAATTGAATATATTTAATACCACGGACAATGAATAGCTTTATTAGTAACTATGCCTACTGCTACTTGTGTTCTGCGGCACAGCGTGGCTACATTAAACGTGTTAGCACCTTCTGAACTTCTGAAGCTAAAGCTGCTGTGATTTTCTTTGGTGCACTAGTAGGCCTGTATTTTATTTAAAGCCCTCATCACTAAAAATGTTATTTTGTATCCTTTTAAAAAAAATATTTATTATTCCAATGACGCAGTGAACTTAATTTTTAAAAAAAAAATGAAATGTGACACACAAAAATTAGGGGAAGTTTCTTAGGCTAAGCGGATGGCTGACCAAATACCTTGGAACTATGCATGCTTTATCAATCGATACATCACATCCATTTTGAAAAAAAATTAAGTTAAAGTTCTTGGTCCTGGCTAATATGTTACCGCAGCGCCTTTCAACATAGCTACACAAACGAAACTTCGAGGCAATGAAGGGAAATTCCACCACTGTTAAATCCTTCTTTCCTCAGCCCCCACATGTATATAATCAACGGGATAAAGCTACAAGGGCAGATATCTTATTTGAAAATTCCAATGCAATCATATATAGTTTACATTGCAAAATTAAAAATTAGCATACACTTGCTTGTGTTTTCAAACTAATCAAGAAATTATCAAGACAGCTAATTTGCATGAATTCAAAACATCATTGATTTAAATAGAACGTTGCATAGTATACCTTTTTCGGCTTTTTATTTTTATTATGTACAGTTTTTCATGATGGTATTTAAAAAAAAAATTTTTGTACAGTTTTTTTAAACAACTTTTTTTACCTTTTTAAAAATTATTTTTGTATATTTAAAAAACACACTTTTGCTGCAGTTTTTGATCCCGCAGGTTGGCATGTGTGATATATATATATATTGGTCATAAAAATAGCTTAAGATCAAAAGTGAAAATTTCACTAACCAGCATAGAGGATGTTCATTATGCCAGCTTTTTGTGCGGAGGTATCTAGGGATAGATAAAATTTAAAGTTGTCTTTATATTCAATGGATTGATACAATAAAACAACAATGATTTACAAAAATGATATATTTTCAAGTTGCATTAAAGTCAACATTCGGAGGTTCTCTATCAGGATTTCTGGGAAATGATTTCCGAAAGTAACAGTTCTCAAACATGTTATGAATCCTGAAATAAAGAATATGCCCATTTTCAAGGATTTTAAATATGTTAATTTCATATGACAATGAATAAGCTACTTGAAATAATATTTAGTTCTGTACTAATACGACCATCACTAACCTGCTGTGCCATTACCAGAGCTGTTGGAATCCATGTACTTGAAATTGCTGTTTCATGGCATAGAAGAAATGAATGGATAAGATATTAGGACATTAAAAAATGAATTCTCACTAGAGTTTGAGTTCATGTAAACATTTGAAATCCCTCCCCATCAACTGGAGAGCCAGATACATTTGACTCAAAATCTGAACCAAACAGATATGGCTATACTAGATACTTGGAAAGTGATACATAAATTGGCCTACATGACAAGTGCTGTAAGTACATGACATTGTTAAACGGTGATAATCACCTACAATAATTAACTTATTCATCTTCCACACATCTTTATGGACATTTTTTAACTTTTTTGCAATCTGTTCAGTCTTGGCGAGATTCAATTTCATTTCACATTACAGAAGAAACAAAAGTGTGCACATCTTTTTCCATGTCCGTTTTAAATGAAGCAGCTTAAAGGAGATACACATATTGATATTCGAGCTACTTAAAATAAGCATGCTTAAGCTATTTGATAGCACTACAGGAAACTAAACTAAGCACTTCTTTTGAACTATGCAGGCAAAAATACAATCAAGTTTAAACAAAAATAATTACCCTGAGGTGTGAAAACAAATTAGTACAGCCCTGTTTTGAACAACAAAAGAACCAAATAAAGGGGTGTATGAACAGTGGACTTCACAACCTCAAAATTTAATCATTATTTTCTGGTGTAAAAGCTACAAAGAATGTAAGAACAAAAATTGTTTGTTATAGAACTTACTCCATAAAATTTTTAGAATAAAGCGACATTATTTGAGGTTTAAAATTTAATACACAATACACAAATATGTGTTTTATTTTATCAAAACACACAATATAACCTAATAACTTTATTTTTAAGACTAAAATAAAATGAGGGAGGCTGTCATTTTATACTCCTAACTGTAACTTGCTTTCTGATTAAAATATATTAACAGATTTAACAATAGCATATTCTTAATCTTACTTTAAAATAGATCCGTTGAAAGGCGGAGGATAATATGGTTCTGGAACTAACAAAGGACCTGAAAATTGAAAATTTAAACAAGATTATAAGATACACTTACTGAATGTGAAAAACTGGTCTGTAAAATATCAACATAACAACAAATAACAAATTTATTTTTTATTTAATACCAGAAACATGTGTTATAATTAAATTTTATTTGTATAAATGGCCTTTCACAGTATTAGAATGAGTCGTGTATGCAACTAAACTTGTCAATGACCGACAAATACATTTTAAAGCCATCAGAACATTACCTGATTTTAAACATCAACTTAAATTTCACCTCAAAATCACATCACAAGATTATTTACCTATGAAATAATTGCTAATGCTGTGCTATGCTCTTCACTTGTTATATGAATGTGATTTTGTTTTTATTTACATAGGCCTATATTTTTTTATTATGTTATTTAACTTCCAATTAAAAAAAAAGAAGTAGATTGCCAATTTTCATAATAATAATAATAAAGTTTATTTGAAAATCACACTTCATCCCCAAAGGCTCAAAGCGCTGTACATAGTCTACTATATTAAAAGAGAAATGAAAAAATCGATATTTTCCCACATTGAAATACAAAATGCAACATTGCAAAAACTATATACGAGAATACCCATTCTAAGTCTTTCATACCTAACAGCCATAAACAACACAGGCCAATACACATCCACAAGATAATAGCTACATAGGCCACATCATCCCAGCAGGTGTTTGCGAAATCATCATGATCATGCCCCTTAGTCCTTGGACCGTTGGGGCGCCACAGATGAGATGTGAACTATCCTCCTCTATTCGTCTCTGTCTTCTGCACTACGCACATCATCGCCCAGTGTTAGTCCTGTCCACTCTTTGATGTTATCCTCCCATCTTTTTCTTTGTCTTCCTCTTCTTCTCCCTCCTCTTGTGGTGCCCTGCAATATTTCTTTGGCAAGCCCTTGATTCCTTGTTACGTGGCCGTACCATTGTAGTTTGCGTTTTTTCACAGTCCCCTGTAGGTCATCGTACTCCCCTATTGCCTGGTGAATCCTTTCTTTCACTGTATCATTGGAGATATGGTCCCTATAGCACAGTGGTTCTCAACCTTCCTGATGCCGCGACCCTTTAATACAGTTTCTCGTGTCGTGGCGACCCCCAGCCACACTATTGTTTTCTTTGCTACTTCATAGCTGTGAGGATATGTGTTTTCAGTTGGTCTTAGGCGACCCCTGGGAAAGGGTCGCGTGACCCCCATAGGGGTTGCGACCCACAGGTTGAGAACCACTGCTATAGCAGATGCCAAAAATGCTTCTGAAGCATCTCATTTCCATCGCCCTTATTTTCCTTTCAAGATCAGCTGTTAATGTCCAGGATTTGCAGGCATACAGGAAAATAGAGAGGACTAATGAGCGCAGCAGGCTGATTTTGGTGCTGGGGGCTATATTTTTGTCATTCCATATTTTCTTGAGCCTCGTTAGTGCTGTTGTAGTTTGCGCAATCCTGGACATCAGTTCAGGCTTGGAGCCTTCTTATGAGACTATTGCTCCTAGGTATTTGAAGTCTTTCCTCCCCCACCTTAATTTCTCTCTCCCTCCAACAGATATCATTGCAATATCTCCACTCCTATCATAGCATCTCTCCATCATTAAATCATAAAAGTACCAAATACAACAAACTCTTTATTTTCATTTCTCATGGTTAACAAGCTCAACCTGTGCTTGACTCAAGATTTATTTTCAAGTGCTAACATACAGTCACATCATTTAAATTATCTGTCACACAGCCAAGTTCTAATTATTATTGCCATGTAACAGAGAGCACTAAATAGAATTATGAATTTTTGTTTACTTCAGGGCTGTCCATTAATATGTCAACAAAATAGAGGGTAGGGGGAGGTTGGAAAATGTTTGACAATTATTTACGATTGAATCCACATCAACAATTCTATTTTTCTTAGAGATAAATGTACTTAAAAAAATTAAAATCATTACTAGGCCTATAAAATGTGTTGCAAAATATGTTAATTTTAATAGGTGTAAAAATTCTTATTACTTAAAATGGCCAGAACAGCAGCAATGATGCATAAGAAATTATCATCTGCACCTCAACAGCAACAAAAAAAAAAGGATTGACTGCAAAAAGACAAATCGAGGTGATAGAAACTACTACACACAAAAAAATGCTAATTTGTTAAGCGCTGAATGGTTAGACTAGACAAGGATGATGTCAGCCAGTTACATAATAATAGTTAATACGGCGATGATAAATTAAAAAGCCGTTTTGCGCTATTGCAAAACAGAAAAATTTGTCAAATCAATGAAGTTGAAGAAAAAAATCTAGCAATAAATATTTAGACTGTATCAAATCATTAATGAATTTTGCAATCTAAAATTGACTCATAGATCTTCTTCTTCTGTATTTTGAGGGCCCACGATCAATGTATTAATCATGCTGGCTCCTAGATTATAATTGTTAAAACATTTAAATTTTTTTAAAGATCTTTATAAAAATGAAATCAATATGTTGTTCCCTGCAGATTAATATACATAAAGCATTTTAAAAAATCCATATATATATTCAATTTTTTTTTGGAAAAAAAAAAGGGGGGGGGGGAATTTTTTTCGACATAATTTATTAGGGGGTCCTTGAAAATGTGACATGTGTTGACAAGAGAGAGGGAGTGGCTCAAAATTGCTTACAAATTTTTGAAGTAAATAATGGACGGGCTCTGATATACATCTATAGGTCATCCTATGCATCTTGCATAAATCAATTCTACTACACCACATGCCCACCTCATTGATGCCATCGACATTAACCTACCTATAACGAATGAAATGCAAGCTCCGAAGTAGCCCAGCAATGTGGAGAAAGCTGTAGCTGTAGCTCTTTGGTTTGGAGGAAACCACAATCCAGACAGAAGTGCCGGCCCACTCATTGGGACTGTGCCAGCCACACCGTTCAACAGCTGGCCAGCATAGATGGGCCTGAATGGATTTACAGTGTTGTATTTGTTAATAGCAGCTACTCTATTGAACACTCACCAAAACCAATGAAACAGAATATGTTAAAGGCCGTTTGTTTATGGCCGTGTCACGGGCTGTCTCCACTGGCTGATTAATATTTTGACTTCTAAATTTACAGTTGATATTCAAAATACAAACAGCTTCTTTAATTTACCACTTTCGGTACCAAAGTTAAAATTAACCTCATAATATGAATAGATCTCTTTAATAAAAAAAAAACAAAAACAAACTCTGGCCTTTGTGAGTAACAATTTTAAAAAATTTACCATTTGGCATATTGCACATCGCAGGGAATGCACCTGAGACCTGTTCCTAGAAATGCCAGTCCACAGCTCAAGACCATGGCAATGCGCATACCTATGGAATATTAATAACATCATCATAAAAAAAACAATCCTATTTGAAGGACTTATCTGAGAGAGGGCCGGAGCCTCATATGTGTTCTCTAATGGACCTATAAATATTATAAGATTACCTAATAATAAACATATAACCTTTCATGTCTCACAAAGAGCCATTCTTTATGAATTCAAATTCTAAGCAAAAATCAAATCATTTGATTTATTTTGAAATTGTAATTTTTAGAGCATTTTAATGTGAATAATGTTGAAAAATAATTTGACAATTTACAAGATTTATGACCAGTTAAAGTTGATTATCTCATTTTACAAAAAAATTATGAATTTTGATTCCTGATGAACTGTAGGGCTATTGCAACTTTTAGGATAAGTTAAACAATGTAAAAAGCACAAAAATGTACACATCATTCAAGGGAAATGGTCTTGCAATCAAAGTAATAGAAAATTTCAAGCCTACCTTTTACATCCATCAGATAGGCGATAGGGAACATGGTCACTAGAAATGGAATGTTCCCCAGCCAGGTGAACATGGCAATATCCCCATCGCTCCATCCATACACATCTTTAGCTGACTGCGCAATGGGACCCCAGGTCGACCACACGGCATTCCAGAGTAAGGCGGACAAAGCGAAGACAAGCAAAAGATACCACCGGCGCTTATAAACTTCAGTCCTGGGGCTTTCCGATTTGCTCTTTTCAAGGACAGGTTTCTGCTGCTCATCGTTAGAGCGGGTGGTTGTTAAACTCTCCGACAATCGTTCATCTCCCTTGGCCAGGTCGAGTAACTCCTGATTTGAAATATCATTGCTGTTAGCATTTAACACGTTACTCTCTGACCCCATATATCGTGCTCCTGGGGTCAGTTGCCCTTCACTTGGAAATGTCCCATAAGGCCCAGAGAAGTTATTACTTTTACCTCGAGCCATGAAGCTGTCATCTACACATACAAATTCTCTCTCAGGTATTGCCGAATGGCACCTGTGAGAATTCATGGGATATGAATAAGGTTTTTCTACATATACATACGTCCTGTTGTCATGGCCATATTCATGTAATCTTGGTTTATCTTGATTAGCTAGAACTAGACTGTCATAGCTACTGAACTTTTGATGATTCAACGCGCCTACGCCAGAGTGTGTAGCTGCAATACGTTCTGCGCTGTTAATTCCAGCAGACTGTGGACGTTCCGGTTGTAGTTTTTGGTACTGTTTTTTGGCCCCGCTGCCCTTGATTCTGCTTGGGATGGTTTTTTTCTTCCCAGCTCCATGAATGAGAGTTCCCATATCCTGAACCGAAATTTCTGATCCCGTGAAACCCTTTCTGCTAAATATTGGTGCGGATCTTCTACCCGAGCTAGGCATATCTGATTCATTTATCAAAAATTCATCGTCAGAGAGCACGGCTGGACTCTTGAGATGCTTACTTCTAAGTGACAAATGTTTATCAAGTTTTAAACCCAATGATGAAGAACTCCTGGGTCCTGAATTCAATCTTGCCTTCTCGACAGAGGAATAAGGAGTAGATGAAGGTGTCATCCCCTTCCTTGGTGTGCGGAGCGAAACTTCCAAACTGTCTCCTGCATGATGGTCCCACGAATTACCCCTGCTTCCTGTATGACTATTGTACAACTTCCCTTCATTCGTGTAACTTTTGGGCAATGCATCAACATTAGCACCCATCCTCTCTGGAGTATCATGTCTACCAAAGCCGTCGTGTCCTGCGTCCTTTGGAAGACTCAAATTTTCAAGATCACTTATCAAGCCCAGTTCAGCTTTGGGGGCTGACGAATTCCAGTGCTCACGCTCGTCACGCCTCCCTTGGTTGTGTCCACTCATAGCGGGCTGGCCAAAAACATCACACGTTTCATTCAATGGAGCGTCTAATGGGAGACGACTCTGTCGGGGCGAAACGCCATGGGCTGATATTTGAGAGGACACTGTGTCATGATGAAACTGTTGATATGAACCTGAGAGTACAGGACTCTGTGTGTGAGCTTGAGTTGGTAGCTGGCCATTTCTCTCCAAAAAATTTTGATCCATTCTTTAGTCCAGCAGTACTTGTATATGTATGGAGTTTACAGAAACACTGAATGGTTTCAAACAGTGAGTCTTTGGAGACAAACTTATCACACAGCCAACACAAGAACGGAATCCTTGACGTGTTATCAACAACTGGATCCACCGAACAAACAGTTTTCATCGTCATAACGTTGTCGTCAGATTTAGTTTAGTGACAGAAGATGCCAACTTTCAATAAGGTTTGTCAATCAAAAGCAAAGGTTTAAACTAATTCAACGACTCTGAAACTTGAATGAAGTCAAACAGCAGTTGACGCTTTCTTGCTGACTATCAAATTGCGTTTGTTTACAGTTGTGAGGTAACATCAAGCTTTTGTGGAATCTGAAATAATAAAACAAAAACAGAGAAAAAAATTAAAATCTTGAACATCAGCATCACTTAATCATCATAAGGTTATATCAACTTTCTATCCTGGTATATTTATACATTTATAAAGAGGTATATTTGCATTGGCAGGGAAGTACAGGACTGTGTGAGGCAGATGTGTGCAGCGACAGGGCAGGGCACTACATTACTGTGATGGTATATGAGACACATACAGGCATTGACAGGGCACAACGGTACTGTATGAGACAGATGTGGGCATTGACAGGGGAAAACGGTACTGCGTGAGATAGGTGTGGGCACTGACGGGGGAAAACGGTACTGTGTGAGACAGGTGTGGGCATTGACAGGGGAAACGGTACTGTGCGAGACAGGTGTGGGCATTGACAGGCGAAAACGGCACTGTGTGAGACAGGTGTGGGCATTGACAGGAGAAAACGGTACTGTGTGAGACAGGTGTGGGCATTGACAGGGGAAAACGGTACTGTGTGAGACAGGTGTGGGCATTGACAGGCGAAAACGGTACTGTGTGAGACAGATGCGGGCACTCATAAGGCACAGCCTTTAATGTGTGAGTTTTTGAGACAGGCGCGGTCATTGCCAGTCAAGGGCAGACTATCCTGCAGGCAGGAGATTCAACCTAACATCATACTTCCATGTGTAACGGCACTCAACAAATCCTAAACACTTATTTGACCACGTATATTTATTTGCCTGGTCGTGGCCTTAGTCAATGAAAATTTAGTTTTGCCTTAACACGGTGTTGATAACATAAAAAATGTGTGTAATTTGTCAATATATATATTTTTAACGCCCAAACGAACGAACACTTTCTCTAAACTGACGCATATTGACCGAAAAAAATATAGCCAGAATTACAGAAATACAGTCACAGTTTTCTATCACTTACTTTACATCAAAGCTTTGTCATTAAAAACAATACCTTTCTTGTTTACATCCCCTACTTGACATTCAAACACATCAGTAAGCACCTCAAACCCCATGCTGTTTTTGTCAGAGGCAAGCACTTGCGACGGGATGACGTCCTTCAGTTCACGCGAGCTGATTCACATGCCCTCAGATACGAACCGCCACCGGGAGTCACAAGGGAGCACACCGTCTGATCACGGCATTGACATCAACGGGTTGTGTTATCAATAAATGAACGCGTTCATATCTCACCTTTTAAAAACCAAACGCTATCTAGGTACACCTGGGTGAAGGGGCGCTCCCGATTTCAGATATATCTTTAAATTCAGGACCTTCGGAGAGGAAGAGAGGGGGGGGGGTCAACCAGGGCGTCTTCTTCACGGGGCGCGAAAATTGTTCTTTTACCAAAATTTTTAGCAAAATTTGTGTGTTAAAATATACTTTTTGTAGAAGAGGGCGCCTAAATTTATGCAGTGAAAGGGGCGCAGATTTGACTTGTCACCGCCCTGTTTATATTGTCAGAACTGACACAGCTAGAGCTCCAGAGATGGGAACGTGTCGGTCCCATTAATGTGTTTACAGCAGAATTGGTATTGGTGAAAATAAAAAGAGAACTAGCTCTGAAATCGATACGGACAACTTCATGTAAGAATAACACGAAATGCTGATATACCGTACATCAGATTTGTGGTTATGAGCCTGATGCATGCGATGCTTCTATAGTTCGGAACAGGGGCGTACAGAATCTTCAAATGGCTGCGTCAATTATTCATTAAAAAATTTCACAAGCAATGAAAACTTGGTATACGGGTACGAGGGGCAGGCATCACGGTGAGGCCATGGGGGTACAATCCATGAAAATATTTTAGAGCCGCTATTTTGGATCATTCGCATGTGTACGCTAAAACTAGCTAGAATTCGTTCCTAACTAATGCGACCTATTCAACGTTTTATATGAATGCAGCTAATTTGGTTAGTACATTGCGGTAAGTAATTTTTAAAAAAAAAATCTTATCATTACAATATAATCACGTTCACCTCGATATCATATCACAAATACCCAACTATGTAGAGCGTACTTTAAATCAGCGATTAGCATTTTTCGTTTCGGCTGATGCCCGATGGTCGGAATGCCGGCCACCCAACCTGCATAGCGAGCCTACGGCAGCAGGCAGTCCGCGTTCAGGGCCCAGAGGAAGGAAGACAGCGCTGGTCGTGGATCGACTGTGTTAAAAGAACACCGTCAAAAAAGACCACACCATAAAATCTTCACCGATTGCGGTAGATCGCCTGCCCCGGTAGAAGCGGACAAAAGAAGTTGGTAGTTGGTACACACCATTTTTCTATTCTGACATCATTTATTTCCGCCTGGGTGTGTGGCAAACTCTTAGGACGGCTAACTGGCCCACTTCCCGCCAACCTATCGAGGTGAAACTCGGCACACAGAATCGTGGCCAATGACAATACATTCTATCAAATTTTCAGCCCCCAATTCCGACCAATGTTCCCTCTAAGGTTTGCTGGTTCGTGTGCAAAATCCTACACTTGTGTGCAAAGTTTTACAGCATCAATTTTTTTTATCTACTTTTTCTGAAATAGTTGGTATAATAAATCTGCAGTGTACAATCGGGTGGGTCATTAGAATATTAATATAGTACAGGGGCGTGGAAAAAATTGCGCTTGCGAGCCTTGGGGGGTGGGGGGAGCATTATTTGGGATTCATATAAAGTGCGTTACTTGCATGCATGTTTTGTTCGATTTTCAGCAGCAGTTTTCAGTTGATGCACCGGATAATAAATCTGCGGTGTAAAAGCGGTTGGCACATTGGAATATTAAAGATAAACTAAAATAATAACAAGGCATAAACGGGGTTTATGCGAAAAACTTTTGTTTTTAATGGGGCTGTTTGATTATTGAAGTGAAGGAAACCGTACGTGAAGGCGGGGCACTCAGGCCGAAGGCAGGCGGGTCGTCGGACGTTATCCGGCCGTGCCGTGGCCATACACGAGATACCGTTATGTCCGGATTCGTACGTTCTGACGAGTGACACGGCACGCTCTGTCCCCGTACATCCCATTGTCCACTAGGCACGTGCTAATAACACGAGGACACCAGATGGATCACAACTCAAAGTCAAAACTTTGTGAAACATATACGCTGGTTGTCAAATGCAATTTCAGTGGTTCGTGTGACAAAGGTTGTGACATTACGCTCTCTATGTCCCGAGAGCTGTCCACTCATCTCAGATATATTAGTGTGTCGCCACGATGAAATTAATAAGCACAATTCACTTGTTGATGCTTCGTATTTCTGACGTACGTCGTCGGTCGTGTCAATTTCTGTTTATTTTTTCAACAAGTCAATTGTTAGTTGTTAGCTTAGCCTACTCACTGACAAGCTGTATTTCTCCTTTCATGAATATTATTTTAAAAAAGTGACCCGTGCAATATCAGACTCATAAAGTATGAATTGATGACTCACAGAACACTTCTGGTACTTTTCTACTTACATGGTTCACACATATTTCACCTGCGACTCCTGTTTAACACAACGTGAGGTTTCGGTACGTCCATAACATACAGTATGATACAGTAGGCTATAAATGAATCTAATGAATTTGTTCTTTGCTCTTCAGAAAAGCATGTCTTTCAGTCAGTTTTACCAACCGTGTTAGCTTCG